GGTTCCATTATGCGGGTCGGTCCGGTCCGGGTATTGCCATTTTCAAAACAGGAACCGGACCTTACCCGGCCCGTTTGAAACGGGTCGGTCCGGTCCGGGTTTTTCGGTTCCTGTTTAAATGTCATAAAAGAAGTAAAAGCTTATGTAGTTCCAAAATTCAATAGTATAGTCCATAAATTCATATATCTAACTTCCAAGCATTTAACACCAGAGGTTTACATGATCAATGATTGATATTCATTAATAGCTTAAAATAAATCCAAAACTGAAATATAGAGAACTTGAGATAGATTATCATCGGCCTTAACAATCTCGGGACACAAAAAACATAATTCCCACGGCGGCTCCCATACCTGAAAAAACACATAATGTGAAGTTTGTTAAATTAGTAATATAGTTTATCACAGTTTTGGTAGAATAATAATTTTAGTAGAGATAGAGTGAGTTATCACTTTATCATAGTTCTAGTAGTCTTATTGTTTCCTACTCCCAAGAGGCTTTCTATTCCTACAAATCTAGATATGCACTTCACTGTCCATATACTTTGTATTTATTAAACTAGTAAGGTCTGTCAATCAATATTCAGCAGCTACATGACTTTGATGAACTAATTTCCATCTCAAGAAAGATATGTGCATCGAATTTGGAAAGAATAATAACATACTTAAGTACTTAACTATGTTAATTTGGAATTTTGGACATCTAAATTGCACAAATCAGCAAACAACATTACATTTATTAACATAGTTAATGTAGGATGATATTCACTAGTAACATGTCAAAAAAGGCACAAAATTATAAAAACTCACCACAAACAGTGACTTCAACTTCCCAAAATACTCTAGAAAGGCAGAAAATCCATAAATTACTCCTGCAAATTATTCAGCCCATTAAAAGAAAATAATTTATTATCTAACCTATTCATTTTAAAAACATACCATGATTTTCTTTCCTTTATCTACTTCAGTTCCTTAAGGAACTGCATCTTCAATTTGTATGGTTGAACTTTCTGTTGTGGCCAGTATCGCTCTTCTTCGCCTATATTCTAGCATAAACAACAAAACCATGTTCATTATAAACAATTAGTATAAAAACTGGCTATTAAATTATACAAAAATAAATATACCTTCTTCGCAATGTTTATTGATATGTTTTATGTAAGTACTAGTTCCCCTGCCACTTGTATCACATGCAAAAAGGGACTTGCAATGCATACATTTAGCCTTCAACACTTGTTTTTCCATCATCAATTTCTTTCCATCTTTCTCTTGTTGATGCATTTCTGATACAGTGCATTTAGTGAAATGATCCCAAACCCAAATTCTCTTTGATGATGATTTGTCAAGTGTAGCTAATATAGTAGTCATTCTGTAACCTGTAATTTTCAGCAACTATATTAACCGCAACTATACCAAAAAAATTGTATAGAAGGGGAAGGCAATGGGTGGTCATACTTTATCTAAAAGCCAAAAATAAAGAATTGAGTACGTCACTCAATGCCACTCATTACCAATTCGGTAAGCCTCAAAGCTAAAATCCAAAAACAATACCACATAAAACACTCATAAAATCCGATATAAAAAAATCTAAAATGTCGATGCCAACTATCAGTTTGTTCATTTTTTGCTTATTTAGATTCATTGTTTGCGGTTAAAATGTGGTCTTTATTAACTATCTCCCCCACCACCCAAAAGATTTGTATGCTAATTTAGATTCATTGTTTGCTATTAAAATTTGGCAAAACTAATACTCAAAAACTCATTTAAAAAATCAAACAAACATAATTTCTTCTGTAATAATGAAACGAGAAGCTAAGACATTCTCAAACAAAATGAGAAAAATCTGCTGCAATAATTAAAATAAAATGCAAACCTTCAAAAACAGCGGACATGAGTCGCGTGACTATGCGAGGCCGGTGTGTAGGGATTTCTCTATGAGCGTGAGGAAGCCTCTCTTCAATCTTCAGAGCTCATAGCATTTCTCTTCGCAGCAGAGAATGGAAGACGACTCGCAACTAGGTTTATCGATTCAGGTCATAAGCTTCTTTTAGTCTCAGGGCTACTGGGCTTGAATAGATTGAAGTTAGAAGTATAGTCTATTACAGATTTAAAATGGACACGGCTTAATGGGCTTGGGTAATATAAAATTAAAAGTAAAATTTTACGGGCCGGTCCGGGTACCCGTTATTCTGAAAACTGGGAACCGGCCCGACCCTATATTAGTCATTACCCGCCCCGCCCCGCCCCGTTTTAATTTTCCCAAATTAAGAACCGCGCATTACCCGCCCCGACCCGTTATTACCCGCCCCGAACCGCGGTTCCGGACCCGTTTGCCCACCCCTATTTTTTACCACAATCTCGTAGTACCCAATGTGTACTCATCGAATTTAGGTACGCATAATTGTGTATCACCCGTTGTATTTACAAAACATCGGTGACGTTATCCATTTTATCTTTACATTATGAGTGTATCACCATGATATCAACACCTAAGATCATTTTCATCTACCCATTCAAAACAGTGTCTTGAATTGTGCAGTATTGCACAATTCGAGTTTGACGACTCAAATCCAAATTATGAATAGAAATTGTGTACGTATTGTACTTACGGCTGAAACTCCGGCATAGTAATTGTATACTATGAATAGAAAAAAACTGTAGAAACCATTTGGCCAATCATATTTTTTAGGTATAGGTATAGACATGGGTTGAATTTAGATGGTTATCCTACCTGAATTGGTTAAAACCATCTAATGATATTGTACCATTATTTACACTTGTTGAGGTATTAGACTTGGTTATACGTAATCTCATCAACGTTTATATATGGTTGTACATATATTAGTCGTACTATTTTCATAAATCATGTATCCATAATATTTATTATGATGGTTCTATCATATCGTATGATAGTACCCAGATGATTTCTTGTATAACCAGACTTAGGATAAAATAACTTGGCTACCCCGTGTTTAAGGTTAGTGACATACGGAATAGATGTTACCTTTTATATCACACATTGATACATTGATAGGTATAATTACAATCAATTCGATTTAAGTACGTCCCAAGTACAAGATTTGAGCATTTAGTATATTGTATAATCTGGGTAATTTGACCCTTATATGAGGATACTTTACAATGGTTAACTTGAATGAATTTGGACGGGTTATTAGAATGGGTCAACATGTTTTATATCAATTCACTAACTCGTATTGAAAACCCCTTCGGTTTGTCACTGGTATAGTAATATCCACTCATCCCAAATTGATTACACTATACAGTTGGACTTTAAATAATGTTTTAGCCAAGGCATAGTTCACAGTATTTGGGTAATTACGTACATATGCATATGATTTAGAATGTGAATAAATTTTTAATATACCATATAGTCATTGATTCATGTATCCAATAAATATACCCCTTGATATTAATTAGGATTAAATATATTGGTGATACTAATTTACTTATCTATCGATTACCCGTCATAACTGATAATAGGTTATGAATAAAATCATCCTTAGTTAATGATTTTGTAATACAATATTTTAATGGGGTAAATGCCATTATCTGATAAACGCCCAATTCGACATAATAATCCGGATGATACGTGTACATTCGAGATGATTTCATCCATCTTAGTATTGTAGTAAATCCTTTTGAGATTTACAAATCCGTCCCCTATGTCGATCCATACATATCAATATCCGAACCCTTATAGCAACTGTAGTAATTTCGGTATATTTACTGTAGGGTATCCTATACACCACTTGTATAGTATCACTACTATACAAGTCTTCATCGGTTGATTGGCTTAATAATTAAGTCCAATTATTATGGTGAGTAGGGGTGGGCAAAAATAACGAAATATCGGTATACCGCGCTTACCATACCGAAAAATACCAGAAAATACCGAAATATTGGTATACCGTCATTTTCGGTACGGTATCATACCGTACCGATCTATTTCGGTACGGTAACGGTAAATGTTTTCAAATACCGCGGTATACCGGTACAATACCGTACCGACTCCCTACTCAACAATTACTTTTAATTCTAATATATTGTAAAAATTCATTATAATTTTGAAGCCCAAAATTAATACTTAAGTTGGTTACAAATACAAAAATACAAAATAAAGGCCCAATTTCTCAAATCCACTATAACCTTATAAGCGTCTACTACGCTAACTATAATGACTAATGTACAAATGTCAAGAAACAAGTTCATTTTGTCCCAAAAGCTTGCAAGTCGTGATGGCTGGACCGCTAAATAGCTGACGAGTGAAGAGAGATACACTTATGTGACAAGTGTATCTACATAGGGATTCCGCGAGTCGAGACACACAACTTTGTCTGAAAGTCTTATTCAATTTTTAAAAAATTATAAAAATAACTAAATACACAATATCATATTAGGATTAAATGATTTTATATCTATGTTGTTTGAATAGTTTTATTTATTTTTCTTAGAGCTCACTATTGATTTAATTATATCTATATTGTTCAAGTTATTTTAGGAGAATGCGTTACTTTTTAATATGTGGCATGTTGAATTGCTTAAATATACTAATAATAATTATTGTTCAATATTGAATTGACATCAATACATTATTAATTGTATTTCGTAACATTTTAATAATAGATCTAATATGTCGCTAGTAATAACGATTTAATATATTTCGTTAGTCTATGATAATTTTTTGTATTGGGAGACATGTACGGTAATTTACCAATACCGTACCGTTACCGAACCGAAACTTTGGTATACTGAAATGCGGTATACCGAATCTTCGATAATGTAAAGGTATGCAAATTTTGCATACCGAAAGTTTTGGTACGGCAAAGGTATGAGAAAAAATATAAGTTATACCGTACCGAACCACCCCTAATGGTGACCATGTATTGTTTAAATACATGGTCACCAAAATAATTCAACTAAAAATTGGCGTTAAATTCCACTATTCTTAAAATTAAGTAACAAAAAACTTACTACGATGGGCACATGGCTCGACTTATGAACCCATTTCGAATTCTATTTTTGCAAGTCTTTGAGTTTGGTAATAGATAACGTGACTCGGTTAATATTAGGGGTGGGCGCAGTCCGGTCCGGTCCAATATTTGGCCGAACCCGTACCCGTACCGTTACTATTCAAACGGTTTGGTTCGGTTCTGTAACACCCCCATTTTTCCCACCAAAATAAAATAACATTTTGAAATGAAAACATCTTTATTATAAAACATATTTAGAGTACAGCGGAAGTCTTTGATGGAAAAACAGGTGTGTCACCGCCACACTCAACCTATACATGATTGAGTGCACAGGCTATCCACCATTAATTCAAGTAGTCATCAGATAAAACTTAAACAAAGTTTATGGATTACAAATTTAAACAACAATAATTAATCAAACGTGTGCAACTAGCGGAACACTCGGGCAGCAAGTACATCAATCTTCATAATCATAATCATCTGTACAATAGAGCAAAGAGAAAAAGAGAAAAGAGACAAAAATTAGCTTTAGAGCTAAGTAAGATTCCACCCGAACCCGTAAAATAATATAATTTGGAAAATAGGTTTTTGTATATGTATATATATTGAAAAGTAGTCTCTCATATTTCCAAAATGGTTTAATGTCATAAAATAATTTCCACAATAGATAATATCATCCTTCAATTCCTCCAAAAGTAATACTTTAGATTCTTTTAAGAGTGGGCGAAACTCAAGATTCCTCGAGCCCAATGAGTCGTTGTTATCTACGACTCATCCCGGAATTCCGGCTCCCACCGACCACCAATTGGAAGCTGAATTTCTACCTTAAGTGTGCACACCCTCTAAAAGGGATTCCAAGCCCTCCGAGTAGTAAGAAACCCAAGTAGGCGGGATATTTTCTACCACCTACTCACAAGGGACATTGTCCAAGGGTAAATTAGGTAACTACTACTACGACCACCAAAGGATCTTTGATCCTCAACTAAAAGCCCGGGATGTCTACCGGAGTATGTCATTGCCGGACTGGTTACCGACCCAAATAAATTTCACCAAAAGTAGTAGTAGCCCTAACCACCCACGCCTCGTGTTTCTCTCGAGACGTAAGAATATATATTATGAAAACTTTAAGTTTTCCCCAAATCATTATTGTCACATTTTCTCAAAATATCCTTTGTAATATATATAAATCCACCAATATTCTTTAATAAAAAGAATATACATTTAATCATCCATAAAAGGTAATAATCCACCAATATTCATATAGTCAAAATATTCGATCCATGTCAAACATATAATTTCCAATTCATAAATAATTCACATAGTGCAAATATTGCATACATATAAGTACGAGGCAAAACATTTTGGTTGACATAGAACTTACCTTAAATTGCGATAATCTCCTTAATAAAATCTTTAGCTTGATCTTCACTTGAATTCTCCTTCTAATATTGATCAAAATTCTAAATCAATAACTATTCTATTATTTCGTTATTTCTTTTATATCCAACCTTTAATTACTTTAACTTCATAATTCCTTCTTTAAATATAAATATTAAATTAATAAATCTTACTAACTGTTTATTTCCAGTTCATTCTTATTATTTTCTTTAATTATAATAACCCAACTCGGTTTTTCTTAATTTGTTTGGTTAAATAGTTAACTAGTCCAATTATATTACTACATAATAATTTCATTATTTCGAATTTAGATAATCAATTTCAGTTCAAAATTCAGTTTACATAATTTATATAATTTATTTAATAACCCTTTTAATAATAACTTGACTTAGGCAATAATTCGAAATAATAATCATTAATGATAATCTAATCTCAATAACAACTTTAATTAGTTCAATCGTTTATTTATACTAACTAACCCAATTAAATTAATTTATCCAATCCTCCAGTTTTATTTATTTGACTCACTAATTTAATTGAACTAACTAAATCAAATAAATAAGTTTAATTATATCAATATAGCTAAATACGTTAATCTAATTCAATTAAGTCCAATAATCAAATTCTAATCTCGTTTTAATTTTCTATTTTTAATATAAAGTCCAGAGATGTTATCAAGTCTATAAATTAACTAATTTATCCATTAAACTAATTGATTTAGTTAAACTAGTCCAATGAAGTCAATTAACTAACTTATTAAGTACACATTACTTAATTAATTTGATTATATTCATCAACTAATTTTTATGAGTTCAAATAGTTTAATAATTTATATGGAGTCCAAATCACTAATAATCAAGGATAATAATTATTAATTTAATCACGCTAATTTAATTAGTCAACTAATTCAATAATTTATTTATTAAGTCCAAATATAGTCATTCATTTATACTAGATAACCCAACTTTATTTTCTTTTCCTTATTTTATTACAAACATCATTTTTAGTCCAGAACATTATTTTCAATCTTAGTGATTTATTTATTTCACCATTAATATCAAAATTTCCTTATTTAATTACTTAACTAGTTTATATGGCTCAATTAAATTAAATAACTTAATCATCACTTTTATAAATTACTAATCATCCATAACTATAGTTTGGGTCTATACTAGACCTAGGTTGTCCAGATATTTATTTTAGAATTATTTCCTTTATTTATTCACTTAATTTCATATATCTATTAACCGGTTTAATTACAATTAAATATGCTAATTATAATTTTTATTAATTATAAATGGTCCCAAATGTCCTATTTAGTCATATATTTAATCTAGCTTGCACCCATATTTATTTCATAATTATTTTCGTCATTTAGTTAATTATTTACTAAATGTGTACAACTTGGCCCAATTACAATTAAATCAATTAAAAATAGCTACAAATATTATTTTTCAATTATTCTTGGTCCGAATATGTATTTTTATACCAGGTATTTAATTTATATTTTTCCAGATTTTATTTATTTCATTTACTATTTTATTTTTAATTTTTTATTGAAAATGGGCCGAACCGGCCCAAATTCGCGACCCGGCCCAAGAAGACTGGGTTGTCTCCTTCCCAGCTTCTCCAGGTCGCGATTCCGGCGACCGGAATCCCGAAAACTTCGGCGAGCGATAACTTTACTTACAGGTAACGGATTTAAACGATTCAAGTTGCAAAATGATCCTGACGTCGAGGAGAAGCTCCGCCACCCCTATCTACGGCCAAATTTCCGCACTTGCTGAAGACCCATTTCCTTGGCTTGCAACTCCGGCGACCTCTAGGATGCTCCGGTGACTACGAATCGGTCTGGAATTTATTGGGAAATATTCCTAGACCTCTCACGACCCTCCTCTCTTGTTTATAGGCAATTTCTTACGTAAATTTATATATGTGTATTTTTCCGGCGAGTAAGTATATATATATATTCTCTACTCGTTTTCTTCACTTTGTGGTGATTTAGAATGGGAAGGAAGCTGTATTTATAGCTGTAGATCGATCATTCTAGGCTGAATCATACATGGAGTGATTGGTTTGAATTATTTCTTCATTATTATTCAATATTATTATACATAGTATTATGAACATGCATGTGTAAATGTTGGTTGTTCTAATGCATTCTAAGTCTAGTCCGCAAGTTCATTGCATATATTATTACCTCTATTTGTATTATTGTGAACACCTATGTGTATGATTGTCATCCACAAGTTACATTTTATGTGTATATGTATATTATTACATGTTACAAAATGTCACTTATAATACTTTGATATTTATTTTTATTTACCTTGTCAGATATATTTTATCTGATTTATTTTTATTTTTATTTATTTTATTTTATTTTTTTCCGATGCCACATAAGTGTTTAATTTTCATTGCATGTAGTGTGCGTATATTTTTATACACCAAGTATAAAAAAAATATTTTGATCTTACTTTCATTTGATTTATCAGATATAACTTATCTGATTTATTTATTTATTTTTATTTCAAATTTTCAAGGTATCACATTCTACCCTCCTTAAAGAATGCTTCGTCCTCGAAGCATAAACTAAGACGCGAATTAAGTATGAAGATGAATTATTATAGGTTTATAAGATATGACAACCTGCCCCCCTAAAAGAAAGGTTACGTCCTCGTAACCGAATATTTACCTTAATTGAAAAGTTCAGGATACCGTTTACGCATATCCTCTTCTGTCTCCCATGTTGCATTCTCGGTCAAATGGTTTGACCAAAGTACTTTTACCATCTTAACTGTCTTCTTCCTTGTCTCTCGGGTCTTAGTATCGAGAATCTCTATGGGTTTTTCTTCGTAGGATAATGTCTCATCCATTTCAATCACCTAATAATATAACGGTTAACTTATATTCTTTTCAATTTACGTTTGGCTCATGTTAAGTCTAGGATTTCTTACCTCCGGATTGATGATATGTGACTCATCTCGAACATACTTCTTTAATTGTGATACGTGAAAGACGTTATGTACCTAGCATATATCGGTATGTTAAGAATGTATTTTAATCGTAGAGAAGTATTTGATTTCAAATCGGTTGTTACCTTATCCAACTCCGTGGGTAGAGCTAATCGATATGCCACTTTTCCCACCTTCTCTAGGATGTCATAGGGTCCGATGAATCTCGGACTTAGTTTCCCTTTCTTCCCGAACCTCATTACGCCTCTTGTAGGAGAGACTTTGAGTAGAACTTTCTCCCCTAGTTCGAATTCAGCTGGTTTTCTCCCAAGATCGGCATATGATTTCTGTCGGTCTTGGGCAGCCTTCATCCTTTCTTGGATGACCTTGATTTTCTCAATAGTATCTTGCAAGTATTGTGGTCCTAGAACCACCTGATCGACCATGTCACCCCAACATAAGGGACTCCTACACTTTTGACCATATAGAGCTTCGTATGGGGCCATTCCGATGCTAGCATGGTAACTGTTATTGTACGAAAACTCTACCAAGTCTAGGTGTTCATCCCATGATCCTTGCAAATCAAGAACACATGCCCTCAACATGTCTTCTAATGTTTGGATTGTTCTTTCGGTCTGTCCGTCCGTGGTTGGATGGAAAGCAGTACTTAACTTCAATTTTGTTCCCATAGCCGTTTGTAATTCTTTCCAAAATTGGGATAAGAATCGTGAATCTCGGTCTGATACGATGTCTTGAGGTACTCCGTGGTGTTTGACCACGTGTTTGACATAGGCTTTTGCCAGTTTCTCCATGCTCCAGGTTTCATTCATAGGAATGAACCTTGCAGTTTTGGTCAATCTATCCACTACCACCCAAATTTTATCTTTCCCGGACTTTGTTAAAGGTAAACCCCCGACAAAGTCCATTGAGATTGAATCCCATTTCCATGTTGGTACTTCCAAGGGTTGCACGAGTCCCTTGGGTTTGCATCTTTCCGCTTTGACTTTTTGGCAGTTCAAACATCGGGATACAAATTCAGCTACTTCTTTCTTCATTCCCGGCCACCAAAAGTTCTTCTTGAGGTCTTTGTATAGTTTGTCTCCCCCGGGATGTACCGAGTAGGGCGTGTTGTGTCCCTCCTCCATGATTTGTTTTTTAATATCTGCACACTTCAGTGGAACACACCATCTTCCCTTGTATCGGATGCTCCCATCTTCATGCATCTTAAATGGTCCGTTGACGCCATCTTTCATTCCTTCCTTGACTCTTTCGAGCTTTACATCTCCCGGTTGTCCGTTCTTGATTTCGTCAAAGATAGATGGTATAACAGTCATAGTACATAACTGTATTTCACCATCTACTTCGCCATATTGCTTTACTTCCAAGCTCAATCTTTGAAAGTCTCGGAATAGTTCTTCTGGTAATATCCATGTTGCTCGGCATGAGTGCTCAGATTTCCGGCTCAAAGCATCCGCCACCACGTTAGCTTTTCCCTCGTGGTATTGGATTTCTAGATCGTAATCATTGATAAGCTCGAGCCATCTTCTTTGCCTCATGTTAAGCTCTTTTTGAGTGAATATGTACTTCAAGCTTTTGTGGTCAGTGTATATCTTACAATGTGCTCCGTATAGGTAATGTCTCCAGATTTTCAAAGCAAACACTACTGCAGCTAACTCCAGGTCATGGGTAGGATAATTGACTTCATGCACCTTTAGTTGTCTTGATGCATAAGCCACCACTTTCCTATTTTGCATTAGCACACACCCCAACCCCGTTTTGGATGCATCACTATAAATATCAAATCCCTCCGTCCCTGACGGTAGTGTCAAGACCGGTGCAGTTGTGAGTCTTTTCTTCAACTCTTGGAATGCTGCTTCACAATCTTCATTCCATTGGAACTTGGTTGTCTTCTTTGTCAGATTGGTTAGCGGTCTTGCTATCTTGGAGAAATCTTTAACAAATCTCCTATAGTATCCCGCTAGACCCAAGAAACTTCTTACCTCTGTGACCGAGGTAGGTGCACGCCATTCAACCACCGCTTCAATCTTCGATGGATCTACGGATACGCCTTCCTGGGTGATGATGTGACCCAAGAACGCTACCCGATCCTGCCAGAAGTCACACTTTGAGAGTTTGGCATACAACTGGTTCTCTCTCAAAGTTTGTAACGTGAGTCTCAAGTGTTTCTCGTGATCCTCCGGGGTTTTTGAATACACAAGAATATCATCGATGAATACCACCACAAATGTATCAAGATAAGGTCGGAATACACGGTTCATTAAGTCCATGAATACCGCCGGTGCATTTGTTAAACCAAACGGCATCACAGTGAACTCGTAGTGTCCATACCTCGTGCGGAATGCTGTTTTTGGTACATCTTTTTCGGATATTCTCACTTGATGATATCCAGAGCGCAAGTCTATCTTAGAGAACGTGCTAGCCCCCTTCAATTGATCAAACAAGTCGTCAATTCGGGGCAATGGATACTTGTTCTTGATAGTTGCTTGATTCAACTCTCGGTAATCGATGCATAGCCTTAGACTCCCATCTTTCTTTTTGACAAATAAGACCGGAGCGCCCCAAGGTGAGACACTCGGTCTTATGTACCCCTTCTCTAACAACTCCTCTAGTTGTTCCTTCAGTTCCTGCATTTCTTTCGGTGCCATTCGGTAAGGTGCTTTTGAAATTGGCGCGGTTCTGGGCATCAACTCAATTGAGAATTCAACTTCTCTCTCGGGCGGCATACCTGGAATCTCTTCCGGAAATACGTCCGGAAATTCATTGACTACGACAATTTGGTCAATGTTTGGTTCCCCTGTATTCACCTCTTTCATAAAGCATAGGTAGGTTTCATACCCCTTTCGGATATGTCGCTTTAATTGTTGCATAGTCATCAACTTCATGCTATGCTTGGATGTGACTGCTTTGTAAGATATTCGCTTCCCATTTGGACCCTTCAAGATTACCTTCTGTTCATCACAGAGGATCCTGGCTTTGTATTTCCCCAACCAATCCATGCCCAGTACTATGTCTATATCTTTTAAGTCAAATTGGATTAAATCTCCATGTAGGTTGGATTCAGATATGAGTATGGAAATGTTGGAGTATACATTTCCACAAGTTACAAATTTATCTGAGGCGGTTCTTACATTCAAGTCTATTCTAGCCGTTGGTTCAATCTTCAATTTCTTAACGAAACTAGAAGATATGAAACTGTGAGAAGCACCAGAATCAAATAGAACATAAGCAGGCTCAGAATTTACAAGGAATGTACCTGAAACCACATCATTAGCATTGGCTTGGGCCTGATTCATCACCATGATTCGCCCTTGGTTCGGACGGTTGCCGTTGTTTCCGCCATTGCCATTGTTCCCGCCATTGCCATTGCCACTGCCACGATTATTCTCCCCTCCTTCTCGAGGGTTGCGGTTGTTGTTGGCGGCGGCGGCATTGTTGTTGTTATTTTGTCCTCCATTTGGCCCAGCTTGATTCATATCTGGTCTTCCTCCATCACGGTATTGCACCTGGTTCACTGGTGCCCCATTGGTCTTTGAGAGACACTCGAAGGTTCTGTGCCCTAGCTTCCCACAATTGAAACATTTTGTCAGGCTTCCATCGCAGTTAATACCGGGATGATCTCTCCCGCACCTCTTGCAGTAGAAGTGTCTATCTCTGGGAGCAACTCTTCGATCATTTTGTTGGTTTTGACCGTGGAAATTTCTTCCACCTTGGTCATCTCTCCTCCTCCTCCCTTCTTGTTGCTGTGTAGGTGGGTGCACTCTGACCCTCTTTTCTCCTCGACCTCCATCTTCGTCCCTCTTCATCTTCTGGTTCCTCTCTCTTTGTAGTTGCTGAACTCGATAGTGAACTGCAGCTCTATCATAAGCTTCAGTCAGAGTTTGGCAACCCAAAACAGCGACGATTTTCTGCGTATCATAGTTTAATCCGTAGATAAATTTCTCAACTTTGGTGCTTTCATCAGGCACTATTGTTTTCGCAAATGGTGCGAGGTCCACGAATTTATTGTGATATTCCTGGACACTCATGCCCATCTGTTTCAAATGTATGAATTCATCACGCATGGTGGCCTGAACGTGTGCAGGATAAAAACGTTTCCTCATGGCAATCTTGAAAGCTTCCCAATTGAAGTCAGGTTGTTGACGTAAAGTTGGGCCTGATGAGACCCACCAGTTATCCGCTTCTTGCTGTAAATAGTAAACAGCAATGTCAACCCTTTGCTCTTCCGGACAGCTCACCGCGTCGAAGAGTTTGTCAAAGAGTCGGAGCCAATTTTCGAGGATACGAGGATCTTCTTGCCCATGAAAGCTTGGAGGGTTGCGAGATGCCACTCGTTTTGCGGCATCATTCCCGTTGTTCTGGTTTTGATTGTTCTGGAGCACAGTAGCACCCAGTGTGTGCATGAATTGTGCCAGTTGTTGAACGCTTTGTGCCAACTCAGCATTGGTGGGCGTGTTATCAGGGTCTCTTCTCGGTGCCATGATATCTTAATGACATAAAGTATTCGTGTAAGATTTTCTATATTTTTCTCCTAAGGATCCTAGTTCAACTAAGGATTCCATAGGCTATGCAACATGATCATATAAAAATGTACATAACAATCATACAGAGGATTCATACTTCACATAAAAGCACTTTCACACATAATGTTTGTACATACCTTAGCCACTTCGGAATTTTGCCCTATGAGGCATTCCCATTTTATCATTTGGGGTTCCCATTTCTCAAATGGGCCCACAATTAGCATAATTATCACATACATGATACATGTAAGGAAAATAAATACTCACAAGGTCCTCACCACGTTCCTAAAAGGCCATTTCCTAGCTATATTATCTTTCCTAATTTTAAAAATATTTGAAAATCTCCCTTTTGAAGGTACAATTTCAAAGGTTTCCTTCAACGATTTCGAACGACGAAGTTTCAGCACAAGGAGAAATTCCCAGGTAGTTGGACGAGCGCAAAGGCTCAATTAAGAACCAACAGCCTTAGACTCTTATCGTCTTGGTGACAGAATTTCTCCATACAACCTATTACCTCGTGTTCTAATCCCTTTGGAAAACCTAAGGCTCTGATACCAACTTGTAACACCCCCATTTTTCCCACCAAAATAAAATAACATTTTGAAATGAAAACATCTTTATTATAAAACATATTTAGAGTACAGCGGAAGTCTTTGATGGAAAAACAGGTGTGTCACCGCCACACTCAACCTATACATGATTGAGTGCACAGGCTATCCACCATTAATTCAAGTAGTCATCAGATAAAACTTAAACAAAGTTTATGGATTACAAATTTAAACAACAATAATTAATCAAACGTGTGCAACTAGCGGAACACTCGGGCAGCAAGTACATCAATCTTCATAATCATAATCATCTGTACAATAGAGCAAAGAGAAAAAGAGAAAAGAGACAAAAATTAGCTTTAGAGCTAAGTAAGATTCCACCCGAACCCGTAAAATAATATAATTTGGAAAATAGGTTTTTGTATATGTATATATATTGAAAAGTAGTCTCTCATATTTCCAAAATGGTTTAATGTCATAAAATAATTTCCACAATAGATAATATCATCCTTCAATTCCTCCAAAAGTAATACTTTAGATTCTTTTAAGAGTGGGCGAAACTCAAGATTCCTCGAGCCCAATGAGTCGTTGTTATCTACGACTCATCCCGGAATTCCGGCTCCCACCGACCACCAATTGGAAGCTGAATTTCTACCTTAAGTGTGCACACCCTCTAAAAGGGATTCCAAGCCCTCCGAGTAGTAAGAAACCCAAGTAGGCGGGATATTTTCTACCACCTACTCACAAGGGACATTGTCCAAGGGTAAATTAGGTAACTACTACTACGACCACCAAAGGATCTTTGATCCTCAACTAAAAGCCCGGGATGTCTACCGGAGTATGTCATTGCCGGACTGGTTACCGACCCAAATAAATTTCACCAAAAGTAGTAGTAGCCCTAACCACCCACGCCTCGTGTTTCTCTCGAGACGTAAGAATATATATTATGAAAACTTTAAGTTTTCCCCAAATCATTATTGTCACATTTTCTCAAAATATCCTTTGTAATATATATAAATCCACCAATATTCTTTAATAAAAAGAATATACATTTAATCATCCATAAAAGGTAATAATCCACCAATATTCATATAGTCAAAATATTCGATCCATGTCAAACATATAATTTCCAATTCATAAATAATTCACATAGTGCAAATATTGCATACATATAAGTACGAGGCAAAACATTTTGGTTGACATAGAACTTACCTTAAATTGCGATAATCTCCTTAATAAAATCTTTAGCTTGATCTTCACTTGAATTCTCCTTCTAATATTGATCAAAATTCTAAATCAATAACTATTCTATTATTTCGTTATTTCTTTTATATCCAACCTTTAATTACTTTAACTTCATAATTCCTTCTTTAAATATAAATATTAAATTAATAAATCTTACTAACTGTTTATTTCCAGTTCATTCTTATTATTTTCTTTAATTATAATAACCCAACTCGGTTTTTCTTAATTTGTTTGGTTAAATAGTTAACTAGTCCAATTATATTACTACATAATAATTTCATTATTTCGAATTTAGATAATCAATTTCAGTTCAAAATTCAGTTTACATAATTTATATAATTTATTTAATAACCCTTTTAATAATAACTTGACTTAGGCAATAATTCGAAATAATAATCATTAATGATAATCTAATCTCAATAACAACTTTAATTAGTTCAATCGTTTATTTATACTAACTAACCCAATTAAATTAATTTATCCAATCCTCCAGTTTTATTTATTTGACTCACTAATTTAATTGAACTAACTAAATCAAATAAATAAGTTTAATTATATCAATATAGCTAAATACGTTAATCTAATTCAATTAAGTCCAATAATCAAATTCTAATCTCGTTTTAATTTTCTATTTTTAATATAAAGTCCAGAGATGTTATCAAGTCTATAAATTAACTAATTTATCCATTAAACTAATTGATTTAGTTAAACTAGTCCAATGAAGTCAATTAACTAACTTATTAAGTACACATTACTTAATTAATTTGATTATATTCATCAACTAATTTTTATGAGTTCAAATAGTTTAATAATTTATATGGAGTCCAAATCACTAATAATCAAGGATAATAATTATTAATTTAATCACGCTAATTTAATTAGTCAACTAATTCAATAATTTATTTATTAAGTCCAAATATAGTCATTCATTTATACTAGATAACCCAACTTTATTTTCTTTTCCTTATTTTATTACAAACATCATTTTTAGTCCAGAACATTATTTTCAATCTTAGTGATTTATTTATTTCACCATTAATATCAAAATTTCCTTATTTAATTACTTAACTAGTTTATATGGCTCAATTAAATTAAATAACTTAATCATCACTTTTATAAATTACTAATCATCCATAACTATAGTTTGGGTCTATACTAGACCTAGGTTGTCCAGATATTTATTTTAGAATTATTTCCTTTATTTATTCACTTAATTTCATATATCTATTAACCGGTTTAATTACAATTAAATATGCTAATTATAATTTTTATTAATTATAAATGGTCCCAAATGTCCTATTTAGTCATATATTTAATCTAGCTTGCACCCATATTTATTTCATAATTATTTTCGTCATTTAGTTAATTATTTACTAAATGTGTACAACTTGGCCCAATTACAATTAAATCAATTAAAAATAGCTACAAATATTATTTTTCAATTATTCTTGGTCCGAATATGTATTTTTATACCAGGTATTTAATTTATATTTTTCCAGATTTTATTTATTTCATTTACTATTTTATTTTTAATTTTTTATTGAAAATGGGCCGAACCGGCCCAAATTCGCGACCCGGCCCAAGAAGACTGGGTTGTCTCCTTCCCAGCTTCTCCAGGTCGCGATTCCGGCGACCGGAATCCCGAAAACTTCGGCGAGCGATAACTTTACTTACAGGTAACGGATTTAAACGATTCAAGTTGCAAAATGATCCTGACGTCGAGGAGAAGCTCCGCCACCCCTATCTACGGCCAAATTTCCGCACTTGCTGAAGACCCATTTCCTTGGCTTGCAACTCCGGCGACCTCTAGGATGCTCCGGTGACTACGAATCGGTCTGGAATTTATTGGGAAATATTCCTAGACCTCTCACGACCCTCCTCTCTTGTTTATAGGCAATTTCTTACGTAAATTTATATATGTGTATTTTTCCGGCGAGTAAGTATATATATATATTCTCTACTCGTTTTCTTCACTTTGTGGTGATTTAGAATGGGAAGGAAGCTGTATTTATAGCTGTAGATCGATCATTCTAGGCTGAATCATACATGGAGTGATTGGTTTGAATTATTTCTTCATTATTATTCAATATTATTATACATAGTATTATGAACATGCATGTGTAAATGTTGGTTGTTCTAATGCATTCTAAGTCTAGTCCGCAAGTTCATTGCATATATTATTACCTCTATTTGTATTATTGTGAACACCTATGTGTATGATTGTCATCCACAAGTTACATTTTATGTGTATATGTATATTATTACATGTTACAAAATGTCACTTATAATACTTTGATATTTATTTTTATTTACCTTGTCAGATATATTTTATCTGATTTATTTTTATTTTTATTTATTTTATTTTATTTTTTTCCGATGCCACATAAGTGTTTAATTTTCATTGCATGTAGTGTGCGTATATTTTTATACACCAAGTATAAAAAAAATATTTTGATCTTACTTTCATTTGATTTATCAGATATAACTTATCTGATTTATTTATTTATTTTTATTTCAAATTTTCAAGGTATCACATTCTACCCTCCTTAAAGAATGCTTCGTCCTCGAAGCATAAACTAAGACGCGAATTAAGTATGAAGATGAATTATTATAGGTTTATAAGATATGACAACCTGCCCCCCTAAAAGAAAGGTTACGTCCTCGTAACCGAATATTTACCTTAATTGAAAAGTTCAGGATACCGTTTACGCATATCCTCTTCTGTCTCCCATGTTGCATTCTCGGTCAAATGGTTTGACCAAAGTACTTTTACCATCTTAACTGTCTTCTTCCTTGTCTCTCGGGTCTTAGTATCGAGAATCTCTATGGGTTTTTCTTCGTAGGATAATGTCTCATCCATTTCAATCACCTAATAATATAACGGTTAACTTATATTCTTTTCAATTTACGTTTGGCTCATGTTAAGTCTAGGATTTCTTACCTCCGGATTGATGATATGTGACTCATCTCGAACATACTTCTTTAATTGTGATACGTGAAAGACGTTATGTACCTAGCATATATCGGTATGTTAAGAATGTATTTTAATCGTAGAGAAGTATTTGATTTCAAATCGGTTGTTACCTTATCCAACTCCGTGGGTAGAGCTAATCGATATGCCACTTTTCCCACCTTCTCTAGGATGTCATAGGGTCCGATGAATCTCGGACTTAGTTTCCCTTTCTTCCCGAACCTCATTACGCCTCTTGTAGGAGAGACTTTGAGTAGAACTTTCTCCCCTAGTTCGAATTCAGCTGGTTTTCTCCCAAGATCGGCATATGATTTCTGTCGGTCTTGGGCAGCCTTCATCCTTTCTTGGATGACCTTGATTTTCTCAATAGTATCTTGCAAGTATTGTGGTCCTAGAACCACCTGATCGACCATGTCACCCCAACATAAGGGACTCCTACACTTTTGACCATATAGAGCTTCGTATGGGGCCATTCCGATGCTAGCATGGTAACTGTTATTGTACGAAAACTCTACCAAGTCTAGGTGTTCATCCCATGATCCTTGCAAATCAAGAACACATGCCCTCAACATGTCTTCTAATGTTTGGATTGTTCTTTCGGTCTGTCCGTCCGTGGTTGGATGGAAAGCAGTACTTAACTTCAATTTTGTTCCCATAGCCGTTTGTAATTCTTTCCAAAATTGGGATAAGAATCGTGAATCTCGGTCTGATACGATGTCTTGAGGTACTCCGTGGTGTTTGACCACGTGTTTGACATAGGCTTTTGCCAGTTTCTCCATGCTCCAGGTTTCATTCATAGGAATGAACCTTGCAGTTTTGGTCAATCTATCCACTACCACCCAAATTTTATCTTTCCCGGACTTTGTTAAAGGTAAACCCCCGACAAAGTCCATTGAGATTGAATCCCATTTCCATGTTGGTACTTCCAAGGGTTGCACGAGTCCCTTGGGTTTGCATCTTTCCGCTTTGACTTTTTGGCAGTTCAAACATCGGGATACAAATTCAGCTACTTCTTTCTTCATTCCCGGCCACCAAAAGTTCTTCTTGAGGTCTTTGTATAGTTTGTCTCCCCCGGGATGTACCGAGTAGGGCGTGTTGTGTCCCTCCTCCATGATTTGTTTTTTAATATCTGCACACTTCAGTGGAACACACCATCTTCCCTTGTATCGGATGCTCCCATCTTCATGCATCTTAAATGGTCCGTTGACGCCATCTTTCATTCCTTCCTTGACTCTTTCGAGCTTTACATCTCCCGGTTGTCCGTTCTTGATTTCGTCAAAGATAGATGGTATAACAGTCATAGTACATAACTGTATTTCACCATCTACTTCGCCATATTGCTTTACTTCCAAGCTCAATCTTTGAAAGTCTCGGAATAGTTCTTCTGGTAATATCCATGTTGCTCGGCATGAGTGCTCAGATTTCCGGCTCAAAGCATCCGCCACCACGTTAGCTTTTCCCTCGTGGTATTGGATTTCTAGATCGTAATCATTGATAAGCTCGAGCCATCTTCTTTGCCTCATGTTAAGCTCTTTTTGAGTGAATATGTACTTCAAGCTTTTGTGGTCAGTGTATATCTTACAATGTGCTCCGTATAGGTAATGTCTCCAGATTTTCAAAGCAAACACTACTGCAGCTAACTCCAGGTCATGGGTAGGATAATTGACTTCATGCACCTTTAGTTGTCTTGATGCATAAGCCACCACTTTCCTATTTTGCATTAGCACACACCCCAACCCCGTTTTGGATGCATCACTATAAATATCAAATCCCTCCGTCCCTGACGGTAGTGTCAAGACCGGTGCAGTTGTGAGTCTTTTCTTCAACTCTTGGAATGCTGCTTCACAATCTTCATTCCATTGGAACTTGGTTGTCTTCTTTGTCAGATTGGTTAGCGGTCTTGCTATCTTGGAGAAATCTTTAACAAATCTCCTATAGTATCCCGCTAGACCCAAGAAACTTCTTACCTCTGTGACCGAGGTAGGTGCACGCCATTCAACCACCGCTTCAATCTTCGATGGATCTACGGATACGCCTTCCTGGGTGATGATGTGACCCAAGAACGCTACCCGATCCTGCCAGAAGTCACACTTTGAGAGTTTGGCATACAACTGGTTCTCTCTCAAAGTTTGTAACGTGAGTCTCAAGTGTTTCTCGTGATCCTCCGGGGTTTTTGAATACACAAGAATATCATCGATGAATACCACCACAAATGTATCAAGATAAGGTCGGAATACACGGTTCATTAAGTCCATGAATACCGCCGGTGCATTTGTTAAACCAAACGGCATCACAGTGAACTCGTAGTGTCCATACCTCGTGCGGAATGCTGTTTTTGGTACATCTTTTTCGGATATTCTCACTTGATGATATCCAGAGCGCAAGTCTATCTTAGAGAACGTGCTAGCCCCCTTCAATTGATCAAACAAGTCGTCAATTCGGGGCAATGGATACTTGTTCTTGATAGTTGCTTGATTCAACTCTCGGTAATCGATGCATAGCCTTAGACTCCCATCTTTCTTTTTGACAAATAAGACCGGAGCGCCCCAAGGTGAGACACTCGGTCTTATGTACCCCTTCTCTAACAACTCCTCTAGTTGTTCCTTCAGTTCCTGCATTTCTTTCGGTGCCATTCGGTAAGGTGCTTTTGAAATTGGCGCGGTTCTGGGCATCAACTCAATTGAGAATTCAACTTCTCTCTCGGGCGGCATACCTGGAATCTCTTCCGGAAATACGTCCGGAAATTCATTGACTACGACAATTTGGTCAATGTTTGGTTCCCCTGTATTCACCTCTTTCATAAAGCATAGGTAGGTTTCATACCCCTTTCGGATATGTCGCTTTAATTGTTGCATAGTCATCAACTTCATGCTATGCTTGGATGTGACTGCTTTGTAAGATATTCGCTTCCCATTTGGACCCTTCAAGATTACCTTCTGTTCATCACAGAGGATCCTGGCTTTGTATTTCCCCAACCAATCCATGCCCAGTACTATGTCTATATCTTTTAAGTCAAATTGGATTAAATCTCCATGTAGGTTGGATTCAGATATGAGTATGGAAATGTTGGAGTATACATTTCCACAAGTTACAAATTTATCTGAGGCGGTTCTTACATTCAAGTCTATTCTAGCCGTTGGTTCAATCTTCAATTTCTTAACGAAACTAGAAGATATGAAACTGTGAGAAGCACCAGAATCAAATAGAACATAAGCAGGCTCAGAATTTACAAGGAATGTACCTGAAACCACATCATTAGCATTGGCTTGGGCCTGATTCATCACCATGATTCGCCCTTGGTTCGGACGGTTGCCGTTGTTTCCGCCATTGCCATTGTTCCCGCCATTGCCATTGCCACTGCCACGATTATTCTCCCCTCCTTCTCGAGGGTTGCGGTTGTTGTTGGCGGCGGCGGCATTGTTGTTGTTATTTTGTCCTCCATTTGGCCCAGCTTGATTCATATCTGGTCTTCCTCCATCACGGTATTGCACCTGGTTCACTGGTGCCCCATTGGTCTTTGAGAGACACTCGAAGGTTCTGTGCCCTAGCTTCCCACAATTGAAACATTTTGTCAGGCTTCCATCGCAGTTAATACCGGGATGATCTCTCCCGCACCTCTTGCAGTAGAAGTGTCTATCTCTGGGAGCAACTCTTCGATCATTTTGTTGGTTTTGACCGTGGAAATTTCTTCCACCTTGGTCATCTCTCCTCCTCCTCCCTTCTTGTTGCTGTGTAGGTGGGTGCACTCTGACCCTCTTTTCTCCTCGACCTCCATCTTCGTCCCTCTTCATCTTCTGGTTCCTCTCTCTTTGTAGTTGCTGAACTCGATAGTGAACTGCAGCTCTATCATAAGCTTCAGTCAGAGTTTGGCAACCCAAAACAGCGACGATTTTCTGCGTATCATAGTTTAATCCGTAGATAAATTTCTCAACTTTGGTGCTTTCATCAGGCACTATTGTTTTCGCAAATGGTGCGAGGTCCACGAATTTATTGTGATATTCCTGGACACTCATGCCCATCTGTTTCAAATGTATGAATTCATCACGCATGGTGGCCTGAACGTGTGCAGGATAAAAACGTTTCCTCATGGCAATCTTGAAAGCTTCCCAATTGAAGTCAGGTTGTTGACGTAAAGTTGGGCCTGATGAGACCCACCAGTTATCCGCTTCTTGCTGTAAATAGTAAACAGCAATGTCAACCCTTTGCTCTTCCGGACAGCTCACCGCGTCGAAGAGTTTGTCAAAGAGTCGGAGCCAATTTTCGAGGATACGAGGATCTTCTTGCCCATGAAAGCTTGGAGGGTTGCGAGATGCCACTCGTTTTGCGGCATCATTCCCGTTGTTCTGGTTTTGATTGTTCTGGAGCACAGTAGCACCCAGTGTGTGCATGAATTGTGCCAGTTGTTGAACGCTTTGTGCCAACTCAGCATTGGTGGGCGTGTTATCAGGGTCTCTTCTCGGTGCCATGATATCTTAATGACATAAAGTATTCGTGTAAGATTTTCTATATTTTTCTCCTAAGGATCCTAGTTCAACTAAGGATTCCATAGGCTATGCAACATGATCATATAAAAATGTACATAACAATCATACAGAGGATTCATACTTCACATAAAAGCACTTTCACACATAATGTTTGTACATACCTTAGCCACTTCGGAATTTTGCCCTATGAGGCATTCCCATTTTATCATTTGGGGTTCCCATTTCTCAAATGGGCCCACAATTAGCATAATTATCACATACATGATACATGTAAGGAAAATAAATACTCACAAGGTCCTCACCACGTTCCTAAAAGGCCATTTCCTAGCTATATTATCTTTCCTAATTTTAAAAATATTTGAAAATCTCCCTTTTGAAGGTACAATTTCAAAGGTTTCCTTCAACGATTTCGAACGACGAAGTTTCAGCACAAGGAGAAATTCCCAGGTAGTTGGACGAGCGCAAAGGCTCAATTAAGAACCAACAGCCTTAGACTCTTATCGTCTTGGTGACAGAATTTCTCCATACAACCTATTACCTCGTGTTCTAATCCCTTTGGAAAACCTAAGGCTCTGATACCAACTTGTAACACCCCCATTTTTCCCACCAAAATAAAATAACATTTTGAAATGAAAACATCTTTATTATAAAACATATTTAGAGTACAGCGGAAGTCTTTGATGGAAAAACAGGTGTGTCACCGCCACACTCAACCTATACATGATTGAGTGCACAGGCTATCCACCATTAATTCAAGTAGTCATCAGATAAAACTTAAACAAAGTTTATGGATTACAAATTTAAACAACAATAATTAATCAAACGTGTGCAACTAGCGGAACACTCGGGCAGCAAGTACATCAATCTTCATAATCATAATCATCTGTACAATAGAGCAAAGAGAAAAAGAGAAAAGAGACAAAAATTAGCTTTAGAGCTAAGTAAGATTCCACCCGAACCCGTAAAATAATATAATTTGGAAAATAGGTTTTTGTATATGTATATATATTGAAAAGTAGTCTCTCATATTTCCAAAATGGTTTAATGTCATAAAATAATTTCCACAATAGATAATATCATCCTTCAATTCCTCCAAAAGTAATACTTTAGATTCTTTTAAGAGTGGGCGAAACTCAAGATTCCTCGAGCCCAATGAGTCGTTGTTATCTACGACTCATCCCGGAATTCCGGCTCCCACCGACCACCAATTGGAAGCTGAATTTCTACCTTAAGTGTGCACACCCTCTAAAAGGGATTCCAAGCCCTCCGAGTAGTAAGAAACCCAAGTAGGCGGGATATTTTCTACCACCTACTCACAAGGGACATTGTCCAAGGGTAAATTAGGTAACTACTACTACGACCACCAAAGGATCTTTGATCCTCAACTAAAAGCCCGGGATGTCTACCGGAGTATGTCATTGCCGGACTGGTTACCGACCCAAATAAATTTCACCAAAAGTAGTAGTAGCCCTAACCACCCACGCCTCGTGTTTCTCTCGAGACGTAAGAATATATATTATGAAAACTTTAAGTTTTCCCCAAATCATTATTGTCACATTTTCTCAAAATATCCTTTGTAATATATATAAATCCACCAATATTCTTTAATAAAAAGAATATACATTTAATCATCCATAAAAGGTAATAATCCACCAATATTCATATAGTCAAAATATTCGATCCATGTCAAACATATAATTTCCAATTCATAAATAATTCACATAGTGCAAATATTGCATACATATAAGTACGAGGCAAAACATTTTGGTTGACATAGAACTTACCTTAAATTGCGATAATCTCCTTAATAAAATCTTTAGCTTGATCTTCACTTGAATTCTCCTTCTAATATTGATCAAAATTCTAAATCAATAACTATTCTATTATTTCGTTATTTCTTTTATATCCAACCTTTAATTACTTTAACTTCATAATTCCTTCTTTAAATATAAATATTAAATTAATAAATCTTACTAACTGTTTATTTCCAGTTCATTCTTATTATTTTCTTTAATTATAATAACCCAACTCGGTTTTTCTTAATTTGTTTGGTTAAATAGTTAACTAGTCCAATTATATTACTACATAATAATTTCATTATTTCGAATTTAGATAATCAATTTCAGTTCAAAATTCAGTTTACATAATTTATATAATTTATTTAATAACCCTTTTAATAATAACTTGACTTAGGCAATAATTCGAAATAATAATCATTAATGATAATCTAATCTCAATAACAACTTTAATTAGTTCAATCGTTTATTTATACTAACTAACCCAATTAAATTAATTTATCCAATCCTCCAGTTTTATTTATTTGACTCACTAATTTAATTGAACTAACTAAATCAAATAAATAAGTTTAATTATATCAATATAGCTAAATACGTTAATCTAATTCAATTAAGTCCAATAATCAAATTCTAATCTCGTTTTAATTTTCTATTTTTAATATAAAGTCCAGAGATGTTATCAAGTCTATAAATTAACTAATTTATCCATTAAACTAATTGATTTAGTTAAACTAGTCCAATGAAGTCAATTAACTAACTTATTAAGTACACATTACTTAATTAATTTGATTATATTCATCAACTAATTTTTATGAGTTCAAATAGTTTAATAATTTATATGGAGTCCAAATCACTAATAATCAAGGATAATAATTATTAATTTAATCACGCTAATTTAATTAGTCAACTAATTCAATAATTTATTTATTAAGTCCAAATATAGTCATTCATTTATACTAGATAACCCAACTTTATTTTCTTTTCCTTATTTTATTACAAACATCATTTTTAGTCCAGAACATTATTTTCAATCTTAGTGATTTATTTATTTCACCATTAATATCAAAATTTCCTTATTTAATTACTTAACTAGTTTATATGGCTCAATTAAATTAAATAACTTAATCATCACTTTTATAAATTACTAATCATCCATAACTATAGTTTGGGTCTATACTAGACCTAGGTTGTCCAGATATTTATTTTAGAATTATTTCCTTTATTTATTCACTTAATTTCATATATCTATTAACCGGTTTAATTACAATTAAATATGCTAATTATAATTTTTATTAATTATAAATGGTCCCAAATGTCCTATTTAGTCATATATTTAATCTAGCTTGCACCCATATTTATTTCATAATTATTTTCGTCATTTAGTTAATTATTTACTAAATGTGTACAACTTGGCCCAATTACAATTAAATCAATTAAAAATAGCTACAAATATTATTTTTCAATTATTCTTGGTCCGAATATGTATTTTTATACCAGGTATTTAATTTATATTTTTCCAGATTTTATTTATTTCATTTACTATTTTATTTTTAATTTTTTATTGAAAATGGGCCGAACCGGCCCAAATTCGCGACCCGGCCCAAGAAGACTGGGTTGTCTCCTTCCCAGCTTCTCCAGGTCGCGATTCCGGCGACCGGAATCCCGAAAACTTCGGCGAGCGATAACTTTACTTACAGGTAACGGATTTAAACGATTCAAGTTGCAAAATGATCCTGACGTCGAGGAGAAGCTCCGCCACCCCTATCTACGGCCAAATTTCCGCACTTGCTGAAGACCCATTTCCTTGGCTTGCAACTCCGGCGACCTCTAGGATGCTCCGGTGACTACGAATCGGTCTGGAATTTATTGGGAAATATTCCTAGACCTCTCACGACCCTCCTCTCTTGTTTATAGGCAATTTCTTACGTAAATTTATATATGTGTATTTTTCCGGCGAGTAAGTATATATATATATTCTCTACTCGTTTTCTTCACTTTGTGGTGATTTAGAATGGGAAGGAAGCTGTATTTATAGCTGTAGATCGATCATTCTAGGCTGAATCATACATGGAGTGATTGGTTTGAATTATTTCTTCATTATTATTCAATATTATTATACATAGTATTATGAACATGCATGTGTAAATGTTGGTTGTTCTAATGCATTCTAAGTCTAGTCCGCAAGTTCATTGCATATATTATTACCTCTATTTGTATTATTGTGAACACCTATGTGTATGATTGTCATCCACAAGTTACATTTTATGTGTATATGTATATTATTACATGTTACAAAATGTCACTTATAATACTTTGATATTTATTTTTATTTACCTTGTCAGATATATTTTATCTGATTTATTTTTATTTTTATTTATTTTATTTTATTTTTTTCCGATGCCACATAAGTGTTTAATTTTCATTGCATGTAGTGTGCGTATATTTTTATACACCAAGTATAAAAAAAATATTTTGATCTTACTTTCATTTGATTTATCAGATATAACTTATCTGATTTATTTATTTATTTTTATTTCAAATTTTCAAGGTATCACATTCTACCCTCCTTAAAGAATGCTTCGTCCTCGAAGCATAAACTAAGACGCGAATTAAGTATGAAGATGAATTATTATAGGTTTATAAGATATGACAACCTGCCCCCCTAAAAGAAAGGTTACGTCCTCGTAACCGAATATTTACCTTAATTGAAAAGTTCAGGATACCGTTTACGCATATCCTCTTCTGTCTCCCATGTTGCATTCTCGGTCAAATGGTTTGACCAAAGTACTTTTACCATCTTAACTGTCTTCTTCCTTGTCTCTCGGGTCTTAGTATCGAGAATCTCTATGGGTTTTTCTTCGTAGGATAATGTCTCATCCATTTCAATCACCTAATAATATAACGGTTAACTTATATTCTTTTCAATTTACGTTTGGCTCATGTTAAGTCTAGGATTTCTTACCTCCGGATTGATGATATGTGACTCATCTCGAACATACTTCTTTAATTGTGATACGTGAAAGACGTTATGTACCTAGCATATATCGGTATGTTAAGAATGTATTTTAATCGTAGAGAAGTATTTGATTTCAAATCGGTTGTTACCTTATCCAACTCCGTGGGTAGAGCTAATCGATATGCCACTTTTCCCACCTTCTCTAGGATGTCATAGGGTCCGATGAATCTCGGACTTAGTTTCCCTTTCTTCCCGAACCTCATTACGCCTCTTGTAGGAGAGACTTTGAGTAGAACTTTCTCCCCTAGTTCGAATTCAGCTGGTTTTCTCCCAAGATCGGCATATGATTTCTGTCGGTCTTGGGCAGCCTTCATCCTTTCTTGGATGACCTTGATTTTCTCAATAGTATCTTGCAAGTATTGTGGTCCTAGAACCACCTGATCGACCATGTCACCCCAACATAAGGGACTCCTACACTTTTGACCATATAGAGCTTCGTATGGGGCCATTCCGATGCTAGCATGGTAACTGTTATTGTACGAAAACTCTACCAAGTCTAGGTGTTCATCCCATGATCCTTGCAAATCAAGAACACATGCCCTCAACATGTATTCTAATGTTTGGATTGTTCTTTCGGTCTGTCCGTCCGTGGTTGGATGGAAAGCAGTACTTAACTTCAATTTTGTTCCCATAGCCGTTTGTAATTCTTTCCAAAATTGGGATAAGAATCGTGAATCTCGGTCTGATACGATGTCTTGAGGTACTCCGTGGTGTTTGACCACGTGTTTGACATAGGCTTTTGCCAGTTTCTCCATGCTCCAGGTTTCATTCATAGGAATGAACCTTGCAGTTTTGGTCAATCTATCCACTACCACCCAAATTTTATCTTTCCCGGACTTTGTTAAAGGTAAACCCCCGACAAAGTCCATTGAGATTGAATCCCATTTCCATGTTGGTACTTCCAAGGGTTGCACGAGTCCCTTGGGTTTGCATCTTTCCGCTTTGACTTTTTGGCAGTTCAAACATCGGGATACAAATTCAGCTACTTCTTTCTTCATTCCCGGCCACCAAAAGTTCTTCTTGAGGTCTTTGTATAGTTTGTCTCCCCCGGGATGTACCGAGTAGGGCGTGTTGTGTCCCTCCTCCATGATTTGTTTTTTAATATCTGCACACTTCAGTGGAACACACCATCTTCCCTTGTATCGGATGCTCCCATCTTCATGCATCTTAAATGGTCCGTTGACGCCATCTTTCATTCCTTCCTTGACTCTTTCGAGCTTTACATCTCCCGGTTGTCCGTTCTTGATTTCGTCAAAGATAGATGGTATAACAGTCATAGTACATAACTGTATTTCACCATCTACTTCGCCATATTGCTTTACTTCCAAGCTCAATCTTTGAAAGTCTCGGAATAGTTCTTCTGGTAATATCCATGTTGCTCGGCATGAGTGCTCAGATTTCCGGCTCAAAGCATCCGCCACCACGTTAGCTTTTCCCTCGTGGTATTGGATTTCTAGATCGTAATCATTGATAAGCTCGAGCCATCTTCTTTGCCTCATGTTAAGCTCTTTTTGAGTGAATATGTACTTCAAGCTTTTGTGGTCAGTGTATATCTTACAATGTGCTCCGTATAGGTAATGTCTCCAGATTTTCAAAGCAAACACTACTGCAGCTAACTCCAGGTCATGGGTAGGATAATTGACTTCATGCACCTTTAGTTGTCTTGATGCATAAGCCACCACTTTCCTATTTTGCATTAGCACACACCCCAACCCCGTTTTGGATGCATCACTATAAATATCAAATCCCTCCGTCCCTGACGGTAGTGTCAAGACCGGTGCAGTTGTGAGTCTTTTCTTCAACTCTTGGAATGCTGCTTCACAATCTTCATTCCATTGGAACTTGGTTGTCTTCTTTGTCAGATTGGTTAGCGGTCTTGCTATCTTGGAGAAATCTTTAACAAATCTCCTATAGTATCCCGCTAGACCCAAGAAACTTCTTACCTCTGTGACCGAGGTAGGTGCACGCCATTCAACCACCGCTTCAATCTTCGATGGATCTACGGATACGCCTTCCTGGGTGATGATGTGACCCAAGAACGCTACCCGATCCTGCCAGAAGTCACACTTTGAGAGTTTGGCATACAACTGGTTCTCTCTCAAAGTTTGTAACGTGAGTCTCAAGTGTTTCTCGTGATCCTCCGGGGTTTTTGAATACACAAGAATATCATCGATGAATACCACCACAAATGTATCAAGATAAGGTCGGAATACACGGTTCATTAAGTCCATGAATACCGCCGGTGCATTTGTTAAACCAAACGGCATCACAGTGAACTCGTAGTGTCCATACCTCGTGCGGAATGCTGTTTTTGGTACATCTTTTTCGGATATTCTCACTTGATGATATGCAGAGCGCAAGTCTATCTTAGAGAACGTGCTAGCCCCCTTCAATTGATCAAACAAGTCGTCAATTCGGGGCAATGGATACTTGTTCTTGATAGTTGCTTGATTCAACTCTCGGTAATCGATGCATAGCCTTAGACTCCCATCTTTCTTTTTGACAAATAAGACCGGAGCGCCCCAAGGTGAGACACTCGGTCTTATGTACCCCTTCTCTAACAACTCCTCTAGTTGTTCCTTCAGTTCCTGCATTTCTTTCGGTGCCATTCGGTAAGGTGCTTTTGAAATTGGCGCGGTTCTGGGCATCAACTCAATTGAGAATTCAACTTCTCTCTCGGGCGGCATACCTGGAATCTCTTCCGGAAATACGTCCGGAAATTCATTGACTACGACAATTTGGTCAATGTTTGGTTCCCCTGTATTCACCTCTTTCATAAAGCACAGGTAGGTTTCATACCCCTTTCGGATATGTCGCTTTAATTGTTGCATAGTCATCAACTTCATGCTATGCTTGGATGTGACTGCTTTGTAAGATATTCGCTTCCCATTTGGACCCTTCAAGATTACCTTCTGTTCATCACAGAGGATCCTGGCTTTGTATTTCCCCAACCAATCCATGCCCAGTACTATGTCTATATCTTTTAAGTCAAATTGGATTAAATCTCCATGTAGGTTGGATTCAGATATGAGTATGGAAATGTTGGAGTATACATTTCCACAAGTTACAAATTTATCTGAGGCGGTTCTTACATTCAAGTCTATTCTAGCCGTTGGTTCAATCTTCAATTTCTTAACGAAACTAGAAGATATGAAACTGTGAGAAGCACCAGAATCAAATAGAACATAAGCAGGCTCAGAATTTACAAGGAATGTACCTGAAACCACATCATTAGCATTGGCTTGGGCCTGATTCATCACCATGATTCGCCCTTGGTTCGGACGGTTGCCGTTGTTTCCGCCATTGCCATTGTTCCCGCCATTGCCATTGCCACGATTATTCTCCCCTCCTTCTCGAGGGTTGCGGTTGTTGTTGGCGGCGGCGGCATTGTTGTTGTTATTTTGTCCTCCATTTGGCCCAGCTTGATTCATATCTGGTCTTCCTCCATCACGGTATTGCACCTGGTTCACTGGTGCCCCATTGGTCTTTGAGAGACACTCGAAGGTTCTGTGCCCTAGCTTCCCACAATTGAAACATTTTGTCAGGCTTCCATCGCAGTTAATACCGGGATGATCTCTCCCGCACCTCTTGCAGTAGAAGTGTCTATCTCTGGGAGCAACTCTTCGATCATTTTGTTGGTTTTGACCGTGGAAATTTCTTCCACCTTGGTCATCTCTCCTCCTCCTCCCTTCTTGTTGCTGTGTAGGTGGGTGCACTCTGACCCTCTTTTCTCCTCGACCTCCATCTTCGTCCCTCTTCATCTTCTGGTTCCTCTCTCTTTGTAGTTGCTGAACTCGATAGTGAACTGCAGCTCTATCATAAGCTTCAGTCAGAGTTTGGCAACCCAAAACAGCGACGATTTTCTGCGTATCATAGTTTAATCCGTAGATAAATTTCTCAACTTTGGTGCTTTCATCAGGCACTATTGTTTTCGCAAATGGCGCGAGGTCCACGAATTTATTGTGATATTCCTGGACACTCATGCCCATCTGTTTCAAATGTATGAATTCATCACGCATGGTGGCCTGAACGTGTGCAGGATAAAAACGTTTCCTCATGGCAATCTTGAAAGCTTCCCAATTGAAGTCAGGTTGTTGACGTAAAGTTGGGCCTGATGAGACCCACCAGTTATCCGCTTCTTGCTGTAAATAGTAAACAGCAATGTCAACCCTTTGCTCTTCCGGACAGCTCACCGCGTCGAAGAGTTTGTCAAAGAGTCGGAGCCAATTTTCGAGGATACGAGGATCTTCTTGCCCATGAAAGCTTGGAGGGTTGCGAGATGCCACTCGTTTTGCGGCATCATTCCCGTTGTTCTGGTTTTGATTGTTCTGGAGCACAGTAGCACCCAGTGTGTGCATGAATTGTGCCAGTTGTTGAACGCTTTGTGCCAACTCAGCATTGGTGGGCGTGTTATCAGGGTCTCTTCTCGGTGCCATGATATCTTAATGACATAAAGTATTCGTGTAAGATTTTCTATATTTTTCTCCTAAGGATCCTAGTTCAACTAAGGATTCCATAGGCTATGCAACATGATCATATAAAAATGTACATAACAATCATACAGAGGATTCATACTTCACATAAAAGCACTTTCACACATAATGTTTGTACATACCTTAGCCACTTCGGAATTTTGCCCTATGAGGCATTCCCATTTTATCATTTGGGGTTCCCATTTCTCAAATGGGCCCACAATTAGCATAATTATCACATACATGATACATGTAAGGAAAATAAATACTCACAAGGTCCTCACCACGTTCCTAAAAGGCCATTTCCTAGCTATATTATCTTTCCTAATTTTAAAAATATTTGAAAATCTCCCTTTTGAAGGTACAATTTCAAAGGTTTCCTTCAACGATTTCGAACGACGAAGTTTCAGCACAAGGAGAAATTCCCAAGTAGTTGGACGAGCACAAAGGCTCAATTAAGAACCAACAGCCTTAGACTCTTATCGTCTTGGTGACAGAATTTCTCCATACAACCTATTACCTCGTGTTCTAATCCCTTTGGAAAACCTAAGGCTCTGATACCAACTTGTAACACCCCCATTTTTCCCACCAAAATAAAATAACATTTTGAAATGAAAACATCTTTATTATAAAACATATTTAGAGTACAGCGGAAGTCTTTGATGGAAAAACAGGTGTGTCACCGCCACACTCAACCTATACATGATTGAGTGCACAGGCTATCCACCATTAATTCAAGTAGTCATCAGATAAAACTTAAACAAAGTTTATGGATTACAAATTTAAACAACAATAATTAATCAAACGTGTGCAACTAGCGGAACACTCGGGCAGCAAGTACATCAATCTTCATAATCATAATCATCTGTACAATAGAGCAAAGAGAAAAAGAGAAAAGAGACAAAAATTAGCTTTAGAGCTAAGTAAGATTCCACCCGAACCCGTAAAATAATATAATTTGGAAAATAGGTTTTTGTATATGTATATATATTGAAAAGTAGTCTCTCATATTTCCAAAATGGTTTAATGTCATAAAATAATTTCCACAATAGATAATATCATCCTTCAATTCCTCCAAAAGTAATACTTTAGATTCTTTTAAGAGTGGGCGAAACTCAAGATTCCTCGAGCCCAATGAGTCGTTGTTATCTACGACTCATCCCGGAATTCCGGCTCCCACCGACCACCAATTGGAAGCTGAATTTCTACCTTAAGTGTGCACACCCTCTAAAAGGGATTCCAAGCCCTCCGAGTAGTAAGAAACCCAAGTAGGCGGGATATTTTCTACCACCTACTCACAAGGGACATTGTCCAAGGGTAAATTAGGTAACTACTACTACGACCACCAAAGGATCTTTGATCCTCAACTAAAAGCCCGGGATGTCTACCGGAGTATGTCATTGCCGGACTGGTTACCGACCCAAATAAATTTCACCAAAAGTAGTAGTAGCCCTAACCACCCACGCCTCGTGTTTCTCTCGAGACGTAAGAATATATATTATGAAAACTTTAAGTTTTCCCCAAATCATTATTGTCACATTTTCTCAAAATATCCTTTGTAATATATATAAATCCACCAATATTCTTTAATAAAAAGAATATACATTTAATCATCCATAAAAGGTAATAATCCACCAATATTCATATAGTCAAAATATTCGATCCATGTCAAACATATAATTTCCAATTCATAAATAATTCACATAGTGCAAATATTGCATACATATAAGTACGAGGCAAAACATTTTGGTTGACATAGAACTTACCTTAAATTGCGATAATCTCCTTAATAAAATCTTTAGCTTGATCTTCACTTGAATTCTCCTTCTAATATTGATCAAAACTCTAAATCAATAACTATTCTATTATTTCGTTATTTCTTTTATATCCAACCTTTAATTACTTTAACTTCATAATTCCTTCTTTAAATATAAATATTAAATTAATAAATCTTACTAACTGTTTATTTCCAGTTCATTCTTATTATTTTCTTTAATTATAATAACCCAACTCGGTTTTTCTTAATTTGTTTGGTTAAATAGTTAACTAGTCCAATTATATTACTACATAATAATTTCATTATTTCGAATTTAGATAATCAATTTCAGTTCAAAATTCAGTTTACATAATTTATATAATTTATTTAATAACCCTTTTAATAATAACTTGACTTAGGCAATAATTCGAAATAATAATCATTAATGATAATCTAATCTCAATAACAACTTTAATTAGTTCAATCGTTTATTTATACTAACTAACCCAATTAAATTAATTTATCCAATCCTCCAGTTTTATTTATTTGACTCACTAATTTAATTGAACTAACTAAATCAAATAAATAAGTTTAATTATATCAATATAGCTAAATACGTTAATCTAATTCAATTAAGTCCAATAATCAAATTCTAATCTCGTTTTAATTTTCTATTTTTAATATAAAGTCCAGAGATGTTATCAAGTCTATAAATTAACTAATTTATCCATTAAACTAATTGATTTAGTTAAACTAGTCCAATGAAGTCAATTAACTAACTTATTAAGTACACATTACTTAATTAATTTGATTATATTCATCAACTAATTTTTATGAGTTCAAATAGTTTAATAATTTATATGGAGTCCAAATCACTAATAATCAAGGATAATAATTATTAATTTAATCACGCTAATTTAATTAGTCAACTAATTCAATAATTTATTTATTAAGTCCAAATATAGTCATTCATTTATACTAGATAACCCAACTTTATTTTCTTTTCCTTATTTTATTACAAACATCATTTTTAGTCCAGAACATTATTTTCAATCTTAGTGATTTATTTATTTCACCATTAATATCAAAATTTCCTTATTTAATTACTTAACTAGTTTATATGGCTCAATTAAATTAAATAACTTAATCATCACTTTTATAAATTACTAATCATCCATAACTATAGTTTGGGTCTATACTAGACCTAGGTTGTCCAGATATTTATTTTAGAATTATTTCCTTTATTTATTCACTTAATTTCATATATCTATTAACCGGTTTAATTACAATTAAATATGCTAATTATAATTTTTATTAATTATAAATGGTCCCAAATGTCCTATTTAGTCATATATTTAATCTAGCTTGCACCCATATTTATTTCATAATTATTTTCGTCATTTAGTTAATTATTTACTAAATGTGTACAACTTGGCCCAATTACAATTAAATCAATTAAAAATAGCTACAAATATTATTTTTCAATTATTCTTGGTCCGAATATGTATTTTTATACCAGGTATTTAATTTATATTTTTCCAGATTTTATTTATTTCATTTACTATTTTATTTTTAATTTTTTATTGAAAATGGGCCGAACCGGCCCAAATTCGCGACCCGGCCCAAGAAGACTGGGTTGTCTCCTTCCCAGCTTCTCCAGGTCGCGATTCCGGCGACCGGAATCCCGAAAACTTCGGCGAGCGATAACTTTACTTACAGGTAACGGATTTAAACGATTCAAGTTGCAAAATGATCCTGACGTCGAGGAGAAGCTCCGCCACCCCTATCTACGGCCAAACTTCCGCACTTGCTGAAGACCCATTTCCTTGGCTTGCAACTCCGGCGACCTCTAGGATGCTCCGGTGACTACGAATCGGTCTGGAATTTATTGGGAAATATTCCTAGACCTCTCACGACCCTCCTCTCTTGTTTATAGGCAATTTCTTACGTAAATTTATATATGTGTATTTTTCCGGCGAGTAAGTATATATATATATTCTCTACTCGTTTTCTTCACTTTGTGGTGATTTAGAATGGGAAGGAAGCTGTATTTATAGCTGTAGATCGATCATTCTAGGCTGAATCATACATGGAGTGATTGGTTTGAATTATTTCTTCATTATTATTCAATATTATTATACATAGTATTATGAACATGCATGTGTAAATGTTGGTTGTTCTAATGCATTCTAAGTCTAGTCCGCAAGTTCATTGCATATATTATTACCTCTATTTGTATTATTGTGAACACCTATGTGTATGATTGTCATCCACAAGTTACATTTTATGTGTATATGTATATTATTACATGTTACAAAATGTCACTTATAATACTTTGATATTTATTTTTATTTACCTTGTCAGATATATTTTATCTGATTTATTTTTATTTTTATTTATTTTATTTTATTTTTTTCCGATGCCACATAAGTGTTTAATTTTCATTGCATGTAGTGTGCGTATATTTTTATACACCAAGTATAAAAAAAATATTTTGATCTTACTTTCATTTGATTTATCAGATATAACTTATCTGATTTATTTATTTATTTTTATTTCAAATTTTCAAGGTATCACAGGTTCGGTCTTAGACCTAAACCCGTTCGGTACGGTTTCATTTTGAAACGGGACGGTACCATGCCATACCAATACCAAACAATGCCACTTTCCAAGTGTTTAATAGGCAATTAAAGTTTAGTGGTCCTCCAAAAATCTACACAATTTATCAATTTTCATACTCATTCCATCCCAAATTGACATGCAAAGTCAATATTTTTTGGTCAATCAATGTTAGTATTAAATTCTCTTCATTGATAATTAATTCAATTTGTAATAATTAAAATAAACATATTCAGAAACTACATTGAAATTTCTTCAAAGTTGCAAGCTCCAAATTAAATATAATTAAAAATTGACATTCTAATTAAGTGAATAAAATGAATCTGTTTGACAAAAAAAATCAATTTTGCAAATCAATTTGGGACGAAGGTAGTATTACATAATTAATAAATTTCAGATAAATTATAGTAGTACAAATTTAAATGATTAAACCATACATCAGTCCGATTCCAGGCTTCCTATGAACTAGCAAAGACGGTGAAAATGTAAAGGCACTAGTCAAAATAATGGTATAAATTTAAATTTAAATACTTCGGTCCGGTTCGGTCCGGTTTTGGTTCTCATTTTATGAGAACCGGTAATGGCATTGTTTAGAATCGGTACGGTTCGGTTCGGGACAAAAAAAAATTGAGATCCATTTCAAACCCCGTTTTTCGGTCCGGTACCATATCGGTTTGTTTCGGTACCATGCCGGTTCGGTATTTTTGCCCACCCCTGGTTAATATTGGTGACAATTTCTGAACGTGAAGACTCGAATCTTGTTAACTTGACTAGGGGTGGGCAAAAATACCGAAATATCGGTATACCGCACTTACCGTACCGAAAAATACCGGAAAATACCGAAATATTGGTATACCGTCATTTTCGGTACGGTATCATACCGTACCGATCTATTTTGGTACGGTAACGGTAAATGTTTTCAAATACCGCGGTATACCGGTATAATACCGTACCGACTCTCTACTCAACAATTACTTTTAATTCTAATATATTGTAGAAATCCATTACAATTTTGAAGCCCAAAATTAATACTTAAGTTGGTTAGAAATACAAAGATACAAAAATAAATGCCCAATTTCTCAAACCTACTATAACCTTATAGGCTTCTACTACGCCAACCTTAATGACTAATGAGTAATGTACAAATGTCAAGAAACAAGTTCATCTTATTCCAAGAGCTTGCAAGTCGTGATGGCTGGGCCGCTAAGTAGCTGACGAGTGAAGAGAGATACACTTATGTGACAAGTGTATCCACATAGGGATTCCGCGAGTCGAGACACACAACTTTGTCCGAAAGTCTTATTCAATTTTTAAAAAATTATAAAAATGACTAAATACACAATATCATATTAGGAATAAATGATTTTATATCCATGTTGTTTGAATAGTTTTATTTATTTTTGTTAGAGATCACTATTGGTTTAATTATATCTATATTGTTCAAGTTATTTTAGGGAGTTTTTTCCTAAATTAATGTTAATTAAATAAATATTTACCAAAGTAAGGTTGGGTTAATAATAATTCCCAATCTAGTGCTACCCTAGTTAAAGAAAGCCGTACGCTATCTCAACATTAAGAATACGGAGTTAGCCACAAACGTACGTAGCAATAAGATGGGGCCCTCATAATTATAAAATCCTTTTTTTCTTTAAAGAGATATAACTTTTTTATTTTTGCTCTATATTGGATAGAAAATATATCATAATTCATAATTTTTTATGAGCTTTCATTTGACACTAATATTGCACATGTAATTTTAAAAAAAATGAAGAGTATATAGATCCCATTTGGGGACTCCTTTTTTTCGACTTATTAGTCTTATCAACCAACTTTTCATCAAACACAGAACTTTTGATTTTGCGTGCTTAATATATAATATTCAAAATAAGTGAGGTTGAAATTACTTTTCTGACTGCATTGGGTGAAGTTACATTTTAGCTATCTTTATCCATTTTATTAATAGAAATTATTATAAGTATAATCGTTTAAGAAATAATTACATAAATATATCCAAAATAAGGATGTTTTACAAAAATATGACTACTTACTAGAATAGTAATGAAATCATCATAATTCATGTTTAGGTGTTGAACTTAAACCTAAACATGATGTTTTCTGCTTATGTTTTCTGCTTATGTAACTTCAACCTTATGTTTTCTGCTTATTACACAATTCAGCGCGCGAAAGCAAAAATGATGTGTTTGGTGAAATTTGGCTGATAAGCCTGATAAGCCGAAAAACAGTGGCTCCAAGCAGCCTCTTCGTGTTTGGTAAAAAAGTTGGTTAATGAGACTGATATGAAGGAAAAAAGAGTTCCCAAACGGGCTCCAGGTGCTCTTCAATTTTTTTTTTAAATTACATATGCAATATTGGTGTCAAATGAAAGGTCATAAAAAATTATGAATTATGATCTATTTTTTTATACAAAATAGATCAAAAATAAAAACGTTATAGCTATTTAAAGAAAAATTGGATTTTATAATTCTGAGGGACCCATCTTTGATTGATACGTACGTTTGTGACTTGCATCAGCATACGCGTATGGGGTTTGGTTAACCAGGGTAGCAGTAGATTGGGAATAATTATTAACCAAACCTTATTTAGATAAATATTTATTTAATTAGCATTAATCTCGGAAAAAACTCTATTTTAGGAGAATGTGTTACTTTTTAATATGTGCGTGGCATGTTGAATCGCTTAAATATACTAATAATTATTGTTCAATGTTGAATTGACATCAATAGATTATTAATTGTATTTCGTAACATTTAAATAATGATTTAATATGTCGCTAGTAATAATGATTTAGTATATTTCGTTAGTCTATGATAATTTTTTATATTGGGAGACATGCACGGTAATTTACCGATACCGTACCGTTACCGAACCGAAACTTCGGTATACCGAAATGCGGTATACCGAAACTTCGGTAAGGTAAAGGTATGCAAATTTTGCATACCGAAAGTTTTGGTACGGCAAAGATATGAGAAAATATATAAGGTATACCGTACCGAACCACCCCTAAACTTGACACTAGAAATGGGGTAATTACATTTGGAGTCACATGGAAGACAGTGAAGACTTGCACAGTAGTGAAGACTACTGTACGTAGTATCCCATTCCCTGGCTTTTAAGTAATGGGTTGGGCTTATAAACTGGATGGGTTATTATGTATTTCCACTATAATACAAGATTTGTACTGTGAATATAATTGTCCCAAAAATTCACTAGACATGGCTTAATATATCGATAGTGTACATTACGATATGGACATTGGAAACTATCCATATCGTAATTTTTAAGATGACAATTCCACTGTAGACATCTATTACCATATATGACATTTCTCAATTATTCCTGCCAATGATGGTACATACATAGGATGTTTTCTTTTGGACTGAAATTTGCTGGTCTGGTCTGGTCTGGTCTGTTCAAGTCTGGTTTGGTCTGGTCTGTTTAAGTCTGGTCTGGTCTGGTCTGAATTGGTCTGGTCTGGTAAACGTCTGGTCTCTGTGTATTTTATAACTACGGAAGTCTGGTCTGGTCTGGTCTGGTCTGGGACTGAAAAGAGTCCAAAAGAAAACATCCATAATCTCAATTATGGGTAATTCAGTACACCTATGCTGTAAAATTACTAGGTTGTAGACAAGGAATGTGTACTCTATTTGGATTAACATAGTAATTTGACTATCTGACGTGGAATTAAGTATATATGCAATAAAATTGTCATCTTATGCATCAAAAATTTTATATTCAGTTGGGCAAAGTACTATTTAATTTTACTAGGAAATGATGGGTATCATTTATACGGCATGTCCATGGGTGTTCATAAAATTCGACAAACTCATTATACACTAATAGAATTATCTTTTGAAAACAGTGTACACGAAATAAGTAATTATTTCGATGATATACTGTTTAGTATTTTTTCTATTCAACCTGAGATCATACAACTGCATCGAGTTGTATGCTCGGAATTGAGTCGTAAATTTGGACTTAAATTTTGACATACAAGTCCAACCTACGATAGTATGATCATAGGTGTAAAAACACACCTAATCTCAGTCTTCCTGCATAAGAATCTCCCTATGTTTATTACATAGGGAACCCATTGTAACCGGTTGATCATACGATATGTAATCATTCGAAACGAGATAAGTTGGCAATCTATATTAATGAGATCCAATGGAATATTTTCGATTGTAGCCGAAAATTTGATCAGGTGAAAGATGATAATTGATCGTATGCACGTGTGAGATCATCCAAATGTATTTTTAACTGGATACGTTTGCACGAGATAGTATTTGATATAACTCAGTTAACTGTATTGAAATACGAATAGGTTAAGAAATTTAACAGGATAAATTGGGGTTGTAAACACCGATCGGTACATGAAATTATACGGT